CGACAAACAGAATATCCCATTTCTCCAAGCAGAAACAGTTAGTGGCTGGTATCCCAACACAGATTTCAGTATTTCACCAGATGAAATGGAGACCATTTTTATTTTTTCATTAGCTTTGTCTACAGCAAAAAATTTAAACTGGCTTTCATCTGCCCATGCAATATCACTATAAATTGGTTTAAACTTGTCTTTCTTTTCCTTAAGATCAAATCCTCTGAGCAGTTTGACTTGGTATTTTCTCTGTCTGATTTCCCTATTTTGGCTACTGACTTCGAAGTCTTCCTTTGATGTTTGGACTGCTTTTGTGGAGTATGTTACGAAATCAGACAGGTTTGTATTTTCATCGGAATCCTTTGGAATACATCTTTTACTATTTCCACTTTCTGAAGAAGTCAATGGTGATTTGTCTACTAGTAGTTCTAATTTCGGCTCTGTTATTTGAATGGTTAAATTTGGTATGTCTCCCAGCAACAAATTCTCTGAAGTATCAACTTTTGCAAGTTCTTCGAATCTTTCGTAAATGTCATCCAATAGATATACAACCTCACAGTCCTTTCCCTTTTGTATCATGCCGAAAAACTGTAAAGATTTATCAATATTTTTACAATCCATAGATATTTTTTCAAATCCATTTCTGAGGCACTGTGTTCTTGGTGTAATTATATTCTCAAGATCCATCAATATTTTATTTTTTCCTTTGTCTATTTTGCTCACCGCTCCTCTACACTTTTGTGTGATGTCGTTTTGAATTTGGGTTTTCATTGAAATAAGTTTACTTCGTTTAGATTTTAACAAGTCTTTGTTTTTTTTTTCAAGGTGCACAATTTCAATGACAAGTCATTATGTAAAAGTTTTATGATATTTTCCTTTTCTTTTCTTACGTCTGAAATAAGTCTGATCTCGTGACTTCTGTGTTCCAGTATTGTGCAATCACGACAAGTTGGTATTTTACAAGGGATACAAAAGTATCGCAGCTCCTCGGTTGTATGCAAATGGCAGTTTTCCGAACACTAAGGATCTTATTTCATCATTGTGCTGTCCTGTAGATATCTATGTCAACGGTCTTTTGCGATGGTTGTAAAGGTGTGTCTAGATGTTGCACACACTTCACAAAGCAAATCCAAACAGGTGATACATTGAGAAACAGCAGGTCTAGGATCTTCTGACAGTTTTCAAAAGGAACATGGCTTATCTATACAATCCATTTGTGTTTTAAGCAGTTGGATCATGTTTTGCAGGTACGCATTACATTGTACCTCAACCAGGTTCTTTATAAAGGTTTTCAAGCACACAGGGCATTTGGATGGTTTGTTCGCACAATGTTGTTCCATGTAACTTAAAATACAGGTCGTACAAAAAGTATGTAAACAAGGCAGTGTCTTTGGATCTGTGTAAAACTCGGAACAATGAGAACATGTTAGGTATTCACTATTTTGGATAATTGATTTTGATCCCATCTCAATGAATCGCCTGCAAAATAAAGTTCATCAAGTTCAGCTTTATTCTGCAAATTTTAGTGTATCTTAGAAGTTTCTGATGCTGAACTTTGTAAAAAAGTAGGTAAAATTATGATTCATATGATGCAAATTTTAATTTTAATACCAGTTATATGCCATGAAATGTAATTTTGCACAATTTTGGCGATATGATTATTTTTGAAAATGGTCGAGAGTGATTTTCTATAAAAGTGATATTACATTTGACACATTTACGTGTTTAAAGATAACATATTTTCATCCAGAATAAAGAGTCGTTAAAGACAGTTTTAAGGACCTTTAATTATCGAAAGACTTCAGACATAATGACAACTTTCTGGTAAATATCCGAAATTCTCCAAACGACCACGAATTCGTGTCCCATTAAACCTGTTTCAAATTCTATCGATATATGAATTATTTTTTGAAAGCATTGTTCTGTTCACGTTGATAGAGCTCTCGTTGTCACCAGAGAGAGAGAGAGAGAGAGATAGAGAGAGAGAGAGAGAGAAGAAACAAAGGTTGTATCTATTGCATCGTTTCTATTGTCCTTGTCGACATTAGGGGACACCTATTTAAAGCGTAAACTCGTAATGAATTAGAGTATGCAAAATTAAAAAAAAATATGTTCTGATTATTTTCTTTTTTACGGAAATAGTCGCTGTACCGACATTTCATTTCATAGGACTTGAGACCATGGTATTTTGTTTATATTTTATGTGCATGTATACAATAAGGAGGAAGACGTGAAGCAATATTTTCGTCCTAGGTCAGATCATAATTATTTTTTTTTCTCTTTAAAAGCAGATTTTTTTAGGTTTTGAAACCTGTAAATTTATGAAACCTAATACTTTCAAAATTTGTCTAGTCCATGCACAAATTCTATTTTATCCATTTTTCTGTTTTTGTGTCACTGTGTTTCTTTAAACAGTGTGAGGGACAGATTTTGCATTTATTCTAAAACAATTTCAAAGTTTATTTTTTATTCTACAATATGATTAAGAATATTAATATCGCTATAGACTGTTAGATGAAAATGCTTTTGTAAAGCAACAAAATGTCTTGCCACCCGCGCGTCTAAGTAGGTATAAGCAAACTAGTAATACATGTGCAATGTTACCCAACAACTAACATTGAACATGCAATACCTTTCAAGTATATTCAAACTTAATCTTTACATAGAATGCACTGAAATAGCTCGCATGTACATTTTTCACTTGTTAGGTTTAATAGCAAAAAATAAACAAATTGGAAAAGACAATTCAGGGTCACTCTCTGTAATTATTTTAAAATTAACTCTTACATAGGAGCCATGGTACGTATAGTCACAGAATTTCATCAAACCTTTTTGATAAAAGTATTTGATATCATAACTCATATCAGGAAAAATTTGGTTTCTATGTGTCAGTTACATTGTACCAAGGTAACATGACCTAAAGATTGAAAAATTAGTTTTTCTGAACATGTTAAGATCCCATCTTTAACGTTTGCAGCATTGCAGAAAAGAGACAGTGGCTGTTTCCAATGTCAAGGATCCGGTCACAGTAGCCTAGTTGTATTCTCGTTCTCTGCGCCGCGTCAAACGACGTAAATATAGATAGTGCCTGTTCCTTCGCCAAGCACCGGCATTAGAAGTAAAAGTCACCGGTCTTTCGGTTAATTTAAGACCTTAAAAACCGAAGTCCCGTGTCACGGTAGGCGTTGGTACGATGAAAAACTCTAACTACTCAATGGCCCTGAGTGCGGGGTATAGGTCCCAATTTGAAGCCCTTCGCCGACATACGGTGACGTCTCTATATGAGTGAAAAAGTCTCGAAAAGAACGTTAAACAACATACAATGTCAAAGACTTGACGTCTTATATGCATGATAAAATATTTGGGAAAGCAATATTACATACGTTACAATGGAAGCAAATGAAATGAATTGAAATGCAATATTTTTTTTCATTCAATTTGATTAGTCATATATTCACAAAATAAAAGCAATCATTAGCCTTACATATAATTTAATCAAAGAAAAAGATCCTTCTAAAATATCTTCTTAAGGAAGAACGGTATCAGTTGGCGATTGCTGCTTTGGCAGTAATACCAAAAAGGGATTTCTATTGAACTTCTATGTTTTTACGCTTTTGTCGTCTAGTCGGCATCTTGTGATCCTGTACTGCTGACAAACATGGATTTAAAAATTGAGGTAATTATCAACTTACGTCTTCAAAACATAAAAAGCCCTTGACAATCAAATTAATTAATTAATTGAATTAATGACATTTGCAAGCGAACATTTAAAAAAGAAGTAAACTTTTTTAAAGCTCACCTGAGCCGAAGGCTCAAGTGAGCTTTTCTGATCAAAGAGTGTCTAGCGTCCGTCTGTCATCTGTAAACTTTTCGCATTTTCGACTTCTTCTCAAGAACCATTGGGCTAATTTAAACCAAACTTGCCACAAAACACCTTGGGTGAAGGGGATGTCAGTTTCTTCATAGGAAGTGCTACACCCTCTTTCAAGGGGAGATAATGAAGAGTTCGTGAAAACTTTGTGGCATCTTTTAAAAATCTTATCAAGAGCCACTGGGCAAGAAAAGATGAAACTTATGAGAAAGCTTCATGACATACTCTAAATTCACGTTTGTTCATATCATAACCCCCGGGGAAAGGGCGGGGCCACGAGAGGGTTTCCAGATTTTATATAGGAATATATAAGAATGTCTTTAAAACTCTTCTTCTCGAGAAAACAAAGCCATGATTATATAGTCATATTATAATGGAAGTATCATCAGGTAGTGTAGATTCAAGTTAGTCCCAATCGTGATCCATGGGGTTAGGGCAGGGCCACAACAGGGGGTCAAAATTAACCATAGGAATATATAGGAAATATCTTTAAAAACCTTTTAATGCAGAAGTATCCTCAGGTAGTGTAGATTCAAGTTTGTTCAAATGATGTCCCCCGGGTGTAGGGTATATAAGGTAAAGCTTTGGGAGACCAGGTATTCAGAAGCTACCGTAAGAAGTTGGACATCGAATCAGCAATAAAGAAGTTACGGGTAATAGTTTTATAAAAGTATAAAAGTTAAAAACACCAGTGGCAAGTATCCTAGGGAATTGATGTTAAATTCTGGGTGTAGTAAATCTGAAGAAGATTGAGACACCCAGTTCTGATCGACCAATGGGAACTTAGGGGAGAAACACGGTGCAAGTAGTACCTTCCCCAGTCGTCCTCTAGATAAGAGAAAATTTAAGTAATGTGTGATTTACCCTCAGACCCAATTGTAATGATATTGAAACGTTTATCTTTTATTAACTTTGACATTTATAATTGTAGTAAAGTTGCGTCAATTAAATTTGGTTATCAACAAACTCTGAAACACTGAGTCAGCCTTTCCCATTGATATATGTTTCCTGTATTTTGCAGGTGTTGTAATTCTATATGCTGAGCTTGCAATTATAATGCTGTTATATAGTAATCTTTATCATCAATAAAGTTAGTTGAAAGTCAGAGTTTCTTGTGGTAACATTACATGGTGTCAGAATGGACAAGCTTAACCCTCCGCCAATTCTCTCACTAGAAGGGAACTTAAAAGAAAATTGGAGAAAATTTGAACAGTTATTTCAGATATATCTCACAGCGAGTGGAATGGACGACAAAGAAGACAAACTAAAAACAAATATTTTGCTTCATCTGATCGGCCCAGATGCAGTGGAGATATATAACACCTTTGAATTTGAGGACGCCAGGAACAAACTGAAGCTGAAACCCGTCCTAGATAAATTCAAGGAGTACTGTAATCCAAGGAAAAATATAATATTTGAACGTCACATATTTAACTCCAGAAGTCAAGGACCAGCAGAGCCAATTGACAGTTACGTTACCAATCTGAAAAACAAGGCCAAATCATGCGAATTTGGCGAGATCAAGGATTCTTTAATTCGGGAAAGAATCGTACAAGGAATTAGGAGTGACAGCGTTAGGAGTCGGCTACTTAGAACCCCGGAGCTAACCTTGGAGAAAAGCGTTGAAATTTGTAGAGCGACAGAGGCAACAGAGAATCAAATGAAGCTCATGACGGAGAGTGGCGCAAGTACAGAGGGCGTTGACCTCATAAAGAAGCAGAAATCCAAACGAGAGATGCAAAAGGAAATTAAATCAAAGTGCGGAAAATGCGGGAAAAGCCACGAGCCGAGAAACTGTCCAGCATTCGGAAAACAATGCTATAAATGCCAAAAGAAAAACCATTTTTCTAAAATGTGTCGAAACACAATGCACCGGAAACCACATGAATTCAAGAAACGTTCAGTAAACATGGTTAATAACCAAGACTCGGACAGCGAGTACAGTGTTGACACTGTCGCCATGGAAAATTCAAAAAGAGAATGGACGGCACATCTCAAAATAGGGAACAAGTCATTAAGGATGAAAATGGACACAGAAGCACAAGTAAATGTCATGTCAAAGAAAACCTTTGATTCCATTTCAAGCGGAAAAATTAATCTTACAAAATCCAAAGCAAAGTTACTGTCCTACTCTGGTCACAAAATAAAACCATGCGGAAAAGCGGTGCTTACTGGAGCGTACAAAGGAAAGTTCTATAATCTAGACTTTCATGTAGTGAATGATGATGTCTCAACAGTGCTAGGATTGAATTCTTGTGTCGAAATGAATTTGATTGCAAGAGTTAACACTGCGAGTAACAAAGACGCAGTCCTGGACGAATTCAAGGATGTTTTTGAAGGAATTGGGAAAATAAAAGGAAAATATACGATCAAAGTCGACAAATCAGTAAGTCCTGTAGTGCATGCACCTAGAAAAGTTCCGTTCACAATTAAACGGAAGGTAAAAACTGAATTAGACCGCATGGAAAAACAGAAAATAATCGAGAAAATTCAACAACCTACAGAATGGGTCAATTCAATGGTCGTTGTGGAAAAACCTTACAAAGTCCGTATCTGTCTAGACCCCAGAGATCTCAATAAAGCTGTGAGGAGAGAGCATTTTCCTATGAAGACCGTAGAAGAAGTTGCATCTAAAGTAGCTGGAGCCTCAGTATTCAGTACCCTGGATGCTTCCTCCGGATTCTGGCATATTCAGTTGGATGAGGAGAGTTCAAAATTGACCACGTTCAACACGCCATTTGGGAGATATAAATATCTAAGAATGCCGATGGGAATAAATTCTGCACCAGAGATATTCCAGAGAACTGTATCACAGCTATTTGAAGATATTGATGGCTGTGAAATTATCATGGATGATATCCTAGTTTAGGGAAAAAATGAATTTCAGCACGAGGACAGACTGAGGAAAGTATTACAGAGAGCAAGGAAAATAGACTTGAGATTAAACAAAGCTAAGTGCAAAATTGGAATGCCTGAAGTTAAGTATATTGGACATATCTTCAGCAAAGATGGGATGAAGCCAGACCCAGAAAAAATTAAAGCAATCAACGACATGAAAACACCTTCAAACAAAAAGGATTTACAACGATTTATGGGCATGGTAAACTACGTGGGAAAATTTATACCGAATCTCGCAACTCTGAATAAACCCCTACGTCAGCTACTACAAAAGGAAATACAGTGGCATTGGGACGAGAGACATGAGGATTGCTACAAGAAGCTTAAGGATTGTCTTATCAAAGCACCACTATTACGCTACTACAACGTAGATAATGATGTCACATTATCAGTGGATTCCTCCTCAGAAGGAATAGGAGCCTGTTTACTACAAAACTCACAACCAGTAAGTTACGCGTCAAAATCACTCAGTCAAGCCGAAAGAAATTACAGCCAAATAGAGAAAGAACTGCTTGCAATTGTCTTTGGGTGTTTGAAATACCATCAATATATCTATGGGAAGCGCGTCAACATTGAAACTGACCATAAACCATTAGAAAGTTTATTCAAGAAACCACTTGCAACAGCGCCTCCTAGAATCCAAAGAATGATGCTGCGCATACAAGTTTACGATTTAAATGTAAAGTATAAGCCAGGCAAAGAACTTTATATTGCCGACACCTTAAGCAGAGCAACAATGAAGGACGAAGAGAATGAAAACAAAAAGGACAAATTCAAAATACATACCCTGGAATACTTGCCAATAAACGAAAAGAAGATGGAAAAATTCAAAACAGAAACGGCAAACGATGTTAAGCTGCAACAATTGAAACAAGTTGTCTTGGAGGGATGGCCGGATACAAGGGCCGAATGCCAGGAAGCAGTTAAACCTTACTGGAATTACCGAGATGAAATCGGATACTATGATGGGTATGTAACGAAAAATAAACGACTGATCGTACCAGACTCATTGAGGCAGGACATGCTTAAACAACTGCATAATGCACACATGGGGCTGGAAAAGACGAAACAAAGAGCCAGAGATATTTTGTTTTGGCCAGGAATTAATGCCGATATTGCCGAACTTATCACAAGTTGCGGAGTATGCAACCAATTTAAGAATATGCAACAAAGGAGCCGTTACTTCAACATGGAATACCTGATCGACCTTGGCAAAAAGTTGGTACAGATTTATTCGAGCAGGATCGTCAAAATTACATTATCATAGTGGATTACTTTTCAAAATTCTTTGAAGTAGCAAAACTTACATCAACCAAGAGCTCAAGTGTTATCAAAAAATTGAAAGAAAATTTCTCAAGATACGGGATACCAGAGGAAGTTATGAGCGACAACGGACCACAATATTCAAGTGAAGAATTCAAGAAATTTTCAGTGAATTATGATTTCAAACATACTACAAGTTCACCGCATTATCCTCAGTCAAATGGAATGGTGGAACGAACCATACAAACTGTGAAGAAAATCTTGAAAAAAGCCAAAGCGGACCGACAAGATCCGTACGTTAGTTTCTTGGAATTGCGAAACACACCAATAGACGGAAATTTAGAGTCACCATCTCAAATAATGTTTGGACGAAGAACAAAAACTCTAATTCCAATGTTACCAGAATTATTGATGTCGGACAGCAGAAATAAAATTAAAGATAAATTACGCTAGAGAGCAGCCATTCAAAAACAATATTACGACAGAAATACAAGACAAATGCCTGAATTAAAAACAGGTGACATCGTGCGAGTCCGAGAGGGAAAGATGTGGAAACCGGCAGAAATCCGAGCAAAATCAAAAGAACCGCAATCGTACATTGTGCAGACCGAAAATCATTAGATGCGACGAAACAGAAGTCAGCTTATTAGTACAGCGAAAGAGAAGCGATTGCCGATCGTTATCGACGATAAGGACATTGACATTGATACACGTGCTTCTGAAAATCAAGTTGAAAATGCTCTAACCGAACAAAGGGCAACAAGGTCGCGCTGCGGTGTACCCATAAATCGACCGAGGCGTCTAATCGAAGAGATGTGATTTGAGCTCAAGGTAAAGTTGAGTTCCAGCGGAGTTAAGTGCTAGTAACCTCTAACTCCACTATGAGACTTTTCTTGTAATTATTTGTAAATAATTTCAACTGCTATTTGAATATTGTTTGTGTATCAATAATTTTGATTGACACATATATGCAAGGGAACTGCTGAAACAACTTGAGATTTTTTGTTTATCTTAAAGAGGGAGGTGTAATGATATTGAAACGTTTATCTTTTATTAACTTTGACATTTATAATTGTAGTAAAGTTGCGTCAATTAAATTTGGTTATCAACAAACTCTGAAACACTGAGTCAGCCTTTCCCATTGATATATGTTTCCTGTATTTTGCAGGTGTTGTAATTCTATATGCTGAGCTTGCAATTATAATGCTGTTATATAGTAATCTTTATCATCAATAAAGTTAGTTGAAAGTCAGAGTTTCTTGTGGTAACATTATACCAATAATACATGTCGGTAGATCGAGGAATTTTATACAATCTTCAAAAAAGATTATCAGAACATATTCCTTACCTTTGCATGCATCAATTCAATGTTGTTTACAAGTTTTATACTAAAAATAAAAGTTGTTAGACCTTGACATGGACGATAACAACGATACGGTATATAGAACCTTTGTTTTTCCCTCACATATTTTTCAGTCTTTCTTGCTTTACAGTGCTGGTAATTTTCATAATACTTCGCTTTTTGATACATGTTTCATTAAAGAAACATATGATTTTGACTCATTATGTAACTTTAGCTGAGCTATAATTCTGACTTTGTAAAGTACTAGTACATCCAGATTTTTAAAGTCTAACTTGTTACTCCTAATTAGGTCTTATTACTACTCCTAAAGTAGGCCTTTCGGATGACCGAGGTAGCGTGTAACGGAAGGCGTTGGCACGATAAAGAACCGTTACTGTTCAATGTCCCTGCTTGCCGAGTACATATAGGTCTAAATTTAAAGTCCTTTACCGGAATATGGTGACGTCTCCATATAAGTGAAAAATTCTCGAATGGGACGTTAAACAATATACAATCAATCAATCAATCAGTTCTCCTCCTTAGGTCCAAAATCTTGAACATATAGTATATGATCACAAAGAGCTCATGCGAAGGGACAATATCACGAAAGGTTAAATAATGAATCCGTACAATGTTATAAGGTGTCGAAGTGTCAAAATGGCTGTAGTGTAGTCTTTGTCTTGACTGAAAAAAAAAATCAAACTATGAAGGGGGAAAACTCTGATTCAGTTTGTAAAGAAGTGTGTTGTTGCATGCATTGTATAGCTACTTGCATAGAAAAATACACAAGTTTGTTGGACTTTCATTAATTTTATGTTTAAGTGTTACTTACCTTTAACCGATTTCCACGTACTTTAATACGGCCGTCTACACAGTCCTGGTTTTGTGTGGTGCATTGCATTGTGTTTGGTTAGTGTAAAAATCGATATGAATATGTGTCATGTTGTCCGGGCTATTTTCAAAAAAGGAGCAGTCTATGTGGCTGATGATAGGGAGTGATAAGGAAACAAATCAATGATCACTTAAGAATACAGTTAAATTGGTTGTTTATATGTCAACATATAATGAACAACAGACGATAAAGACAGATAATACAAACAAACTTTTATCGAAAATTTTGAAAATAACAACTTAAGTCTCGTTTATATAAGTAAAATGAATGTTTATTCGCATAGTTTTTTTTTTTCATTTTTCATTCAATGTTTCACAATAATGGGATTTAAAGTGACAAAAAATTGTATAAATTATTAAGAATGGTTGCAGAAAGATCGATTTTTAAAACATCGTAGAAGATTTACAATTTCTTGATATTTTAGAAAATTATTTGCAACATTCACAACCAATTTAGGTCCAAAAATATATACCAATCCAGTAGGGATGTCAACGAGTACCCGGTTAACCGGATACTCGATCGAACGTCCGAGTATCGAATACTAAAAATGGTACTCGGTTACTCGGATGTGTATTTTTTCTTATTTAAAGGTACATATTTTTTATCAAAAACTTATCAAAAAAATAACTCAAATACATGTATGCATACGGGTAATTAGCGTGTCGTCATCTACCCATGTAAACACCCATTATCGCCTATGGCTGTGTATATGAAGTAATTAGTGACCAATCACCTGGTACAGCTGTACTCACCTATTGTGGTCCTTAATTTTTTTTATGGCTTCAATGATTGTTTTTCAGTGAACATCGACTAATATGGTCTATTATCTTCAAATCATTTTGAAATTATTTAGTTAATATATGGCAGCGAAATCGGAAGTGCACAGAAATGCATGCCGCTACCCACTTCAAAATAAATAAAGATTAAAAAAAATGTTTAAAGTCAGTTTCCATAGCAAGTTGAATAAATATTAGACTAATAATCAAAACAACGTCCGTTCCTCCTCTTTCGCTAGTCTAATCATCACAAACCTGCGTAACAGATTGTCCTCCTTTTGCGTTGATGAAATATAGATCTTAAACAAGAACTGTAAACCATTTGTAATTTTTGATGTATTTATTGCGTCATTTGTGTTTATTTGATAAATAAATTTAGTACTAAAAATCATTTCCTTTGGACTCCATGTTTATATACATTCATAAAACGTGACAAAACAGCTCTGGAGTTTATATACATTCATAAAACGTGACAAAACAGCTCTGGAGTTTAACAAATTAACAATTAAAAATTAACAAACTTGTTATTACATTTTTACCGAGTACCCGATCGGAAAAACGTCCGAGTAACCGATTATCAAAAATTGACCGATCTGACATCCCTACAATCCAGGCATTGCTTGTATCATCTGTCCTTAAGACATAATAATTTAAGTCCTAATGAATTCAATGTGGTACAATTGTATAAAAAGATAAAA